GCCTGGCTGTGCAACACTGAAGTCAATATTGGTGTTGGCTAAAGTTGAAACGCAAGTGTAGTCCCACACCAACTGTCTACCATTCTTCCAGGGGTTTACCGTGATCCTGCCTGGACGATCGGCAGGATCATCAGAGTTGCGGGGCATTAGGTAACGAGGTTCTCTCTCTACTGTACAACCGGCTGTGGTAAGGCTCCTCTTAATAATGCCATTAACCTCGTTGTGTATTGCATGCCATCCTCCTGTGCTTTGGCAGAGCAGGCCATGCTGGCCGTACCTTTCGGCCACTTCCTCGCTGCAAATACACTTATTTTCGGTGTGGATTGGGGCAGCGAGGCGGAGGGCCGCAGCAATTCGGAGGGCCTGCAGTGTGAGACGCGTGCCGGTTGCTGACATTGGGGTTGTTAATAGAAAGTCACCTGCATGGGGAGCTGTTACAGCTCTATCTGCAAATGGGTTTCTCAAGACTGACCCATTTGATGGTGATATTTAGTATGCAAATTTATTATTATATACACTAAGGAAACAAACATAGGAATGTGCCTCAATGCCAACAGTGACTGCCCAGACAGGTACAAAGTGTTGTTAAGGGGGCATATCGTTTTAAATCGTTATAAATTAAAAGTTGTTCAATTTGCTTATAAATTTATTTATGAAATGGTTATAGAAAGGGCTGCAACTGGTCCAAGTTTCACCATCACACCCTAAACAGAAAAGGAGAAAAAAAATACACAACGTATTATGCAACGAATGTTCAACATTCTCAAATAATCTCAGGGAACACATGTGTCAACTAAAATGTCTACTATGTGCTGTAGAAGCACAAACTCTTGTAATAATTGTAATATGTATGTGCAATATATTTATATGTAATTTCTTTTTTTTTTTTTTTTTTCTTCTTTTTTTTGGCCAATTTCTTTTTTCGTTTGTTATCAAGGGATTTGCATGAAACTTGCACACCTTGCTCAATGGATGCCTATCTGCAAGGGTGCCAATTATGAACGAAATCTGTCGAAGTCAAGCTCAGCTACAGGTGGCCGAACTTTGATCTTTATTTTACTCAGGAAAGTAATTTACAACTTCAAAGTACTTCATAGCTTTCATTTATTAATCAATTTACATGCAAATTACACCGTATATGTAGAGTTTGTGCTTCTACAGTACGTTGTAGACATTTTAGTCCAAAGTCCATTTGTTGATTTTATAAAAATTTATAAACATCATATATTGCATATTTTTGGAAGGGTAACTTTGAATAATTATATTATTGCACTAAACACTGTTTTGATAAAACTACTCACAACAATCCTTTATTATATGCTAATTTTAATATCTGAGTGTTATAGAAAGTATTTTAGTTGACACATGTGTTCCCTGAAATTATTTGAAAATGTTGAAAAATCGTTGCATAATATGTTGTGTATTTTTTTTCTCCTTTTCTGTTTGGGGTGTGATGGTGAAACTTGGACCAGTTGCAGCCCTTTCTATAACCATTTCATAAATAAATTTATAAGCAAATTGAACAACTTTTAATTTATAACGATTTAAAACGATATGCCCCCTTAACGCTTATGTCGACCGTGCTCTCAGCCACAGCTCAGGATGGAAGCAAGTCGATGAAGAACTCTAGGGTAAGGCAGATCCTAATCAACAACGGCTTCTCCAATGGTTTCGTTGAAGACATCATAAAAAGGAAGGTGAAACGCCATGCAACCTCTGAAGAGACAACTAACACAACACCTGTAACCCCTATTAGGCTATTTTGCAGGAACTTCTTTTCTACAGCTCATAAAACGGAAGAAAGGGTCCTGAAAGATATTGTTAATAGGAACGTTATCCGTACAGACAAAAATCAGAAGATACAATTGACGGTTTACTATAAAACCCCCAAAACGGCCAACCTACTCATGAAAACTCTCCAGACACAAAGCAGAACGCTTTAAAAGAGATCAACGTCGTCTATGCCTTTAAATGCCCACTTGGGGACTGTAAGCCCCAAAGAACTCAGTATATAGGCAAGACAACAACATCTCTTTCCAGGTGATTAACAATGCATAAGCAACAGGGCTCCTTTAAGGAACATATAATCTCTTCCCACAACCAGACCATCACCAGAGAAGTCTTAACAAACAACACAGAAATCATCGATAGATACAGCGATAGCAGGCGGCTTGACATCTGCGAGGCACTACACATCAAGAAGTCAACACCAGCAATCAACAGCCAATTAATGCACAACTATATTCTACCCACTTCAAGACTCTGTACCAATATAGAAGCATCAAGAGGAAATATTGGCCAATAGACCCTTTGCAGTTACTTCCATTCTTCCCTTTCATCAATACCCATTGAACCGTGTTCTGTCTTGTGTTGAAAGTTTGTTCACCTCATCCAAAACTGTTGTAACATATCACCTCACCCAAATGCGAGTATATAAGACAAAAGCTGTTTAAATATTAGCATAGTAAAACTTTGTTTAGTGTTTGCAAGTTATAGATGTGTGTGTGTAAACTAAAGTCTTTGAAAATGTAATAAGTTATTACGAAACGCGTTCAAGTGTTGCGTCAGACTAGAAATTAAAATGAATTTTGGAGAATTGATTTTTCAATTACCATCAACAGTAAAAAGAAACATAAGAAATATTGAGAAAATTCGTGTTAGAATTATTAATCTTACTTTTTCGGTCATATTTCATATATATATATATATATATATATATATATATATATATATATATATATATATATATATATATATATATATATATATATATATATATATATATATATCGCGTTTGGTCTTGCTCTCACTATCGCGGCGGGTAAAGTAAATACTTCCGTTATTTTGATTATTTATGGTGGGTTATAAGGCTTTTTATGTGAAGGGCTTCAAGAATTTGTAATCTCTCTTACATCTTTAGTTTTGTCTATTATACAGGTATTTTTGTTCAACATTTCTCTTGTTAGGGTGATGTCATGGGCTTCTCTCGTGTGATTTTTAGGGGCACCTGATTGAAGATGACAGGTCAAGCGCGTCGTCAGCTCGGTCGACGTCATACCTGTGAACTTGGATTGAAGGTTTACATCCTTCGTGCTGGCAGGTGTACCTGTATACCACGGTTGACTGTTGCAAAGGCTCTCAGTTGGTTTCTGTCTGTTTTTAATGAGGAGGTCAGTGGTTTTTATTGCTTTATAATATATGATGATGTCTATGTTTTGGTTGTGATTTCTGTTCTTGGTTCAGGATTATACCACCGGTCCAAGTGTCGTCTTTTAGTGGTGTATATATATATATATATATATATATATATATATATATATATATATATATATATATATATATATGTGTGTGTGTGTACTCACCTAGTTGTACTCACCTAGTTGTGTTTGCGGGGGTTGAGCTCTGGCTCTTTGGTCCCGCCTCTCAACCGTCAATCAACAGGTGTACAGATTCATGAGCCTATCGGGCTCTGTCATATCTACACTTGAAACTGTGTATGGAGTCAGCCTCCACCACATCACTTCCTAGTGCATTCCATTTGTCAACCACTCTGACACTAAAAAAGTTCTTTCTAATATCTCTGTGGCTCATTTGGGCACTCAGTTTCCACCTGTGTCCCCTTGTGCGTGTTCCCCTTGTGTTAAATAGACTGTCTTTATCTACCCTATCAATCCCCTTCAGAATCTTGAATGTGGTGATCATGTCCCCCCTAACTCTTCTGTCTTCCAGCGAAGTGAGGTTTAATTCCCGTAGTCTCTCCTCGTAGCTCATACCTCTCAGCTCGGGTACTAGTCTGGTGGCAAACCTTTGAACCTTTTCCAGTTTAGTCTTATCCTTGACTAGATATGGACTCCATGCTGGGGCTGCATACTCCAGGATTGGCCTGACATATGTGGTATACAAAGTTCTGAATGATTCTTTACACAAGTTTCTGAATGCCGTTCGTATGTTGGCCAGCCTGGCATATGCCGCTGATGTTATCCGCTTGATATGTGCTGCAGGAGACAGGTCTGGCGTGATATCAACCCCCAAGTCTTTTTCCTTCTCTGACTCCTGAAGAATTTCCTCTCCCAGATGATACCTTGTATCTGGCCTCCTGCTCCCTACACCTATCTTCATTACATTACATTTGGTTGGGTTAAACTCTAACAACCATTTGTTCGACCATTCCTTCAGCTTGTCTAGGTCTTCTTGAAGCCTCAAACAGTCCTCTTCTGTTTTAATCCTTCTCATAATTTTAGCATCGTCCGCAAACATTGAGAGAAATGAATCGATACCCTCCGGGAGATCATTTACATATATCAGAAACAAGATAGGACCGAGTACAGAGCCCTGTGGGACTCCACTGGTGACTTCACGCCAATCGGAGGTCTCACTCCTCACCGTAACTCTCTGCTTCCTATTGCTTAGATACTCCCTTATCCACTGGAGCACCTTACCAGCTACACCTGCCTGTCTCTCCAGCTTATGTACCAGCCTCTTATGCGGTACTGTGTCAAAGGCTTTCCGACAATCCAAGAAAATGCAGTCCGCCCAGCCCTCTCTTTCTTGCTTAATCTGTGTCACCTGATCGTAGAATTCTATCAAGCCTGTGTCTGTGGGTGTGTGTGTGTGTGTGTGTGTGGGTGTGGGTGTGTGTGGGTGTGGGTGTGTGTGTGTGTGTGTGTGTGTGTGTGTGTGTGTGGGTGGGTGTGGGTGTGTGTGTGTGTGTGTGGGTGGGTGTGGGTGTGTGTGTGTGTGTGTGGGTGGGTGTGGGTGGGTGTGTGTGGGTGTGTGTGTGTGAATGCTCCTCAGTCCGATCTGGTATTGAATCCTGATGATGAGTGAGAGCCAGGTACGCTGCGTGCTTGATCAGCCCGTCCTCCTAAGGTTTCCCAACGCCAAGAAATTGTCGTACTAAAGTGCTCCCTCCTAACCGACCAGAGGACCCAAAACAGAAAACGGGAGAATACAATTTCGCGAGGCACTACCTTTTTCAGTAAAGATAATGATGTTTAGCCTCAGGTAAAGTAAGGGTCAAAATGTGACGTTCTATTAGGGGACGGGTTGTGCATGATAGTGTGAGCCAGGTACCCAGCGTGCATGATAGTGTGAGCCAGGTACCCAGTGTGCATGATAGTGTGAGCCAGGTACCCAGTGTGCATGATAGTGTGAGCCAGGTACCCAGCGTGCATGATAGTGTGAGCCAGGTACCCAGCGTGCATGATAGTGTGAGCCAGGTACCCAGCGTGCATGATAATGTGAGCCAGGTACCCAGCGTGCATGATAGTGTGAACCAGGTACCCAGCGTGCATGATAGTGTGAGCCAGGTACCCAGCGTGCATGATAGTGTGAGCCAGGTACCCAGCGTGCATGATAGTGTGAGCCAGGTACCCAGCGTGCATGATAGTGTGAGCCAGGTACCCAGCGTGCATGATAGTGTGAGCCAGGTCCCCAGTGTGCATGATAGTGTGAGCCAGGTACCCAGTGTGCATGATAGTGTGAGCCAGGTACCCAGTGTGCATGATAGTGTGAGCCAGGTCCCCAGTGTGCATGATAGTGTGAGCCAGGTCCGCAGTGTGCATGATAGTATGAGCCAGGTACCCAGTGTGCATGATAGTATGAACCAGGTCCCCAGTGTGCATGATAGTATGAGCCAGGTCCCCAGTGTGCATGATAGTGTGAGCCAGGTCCCCAGTGTGCATGATAGTATGAGCCAGGTCCCCAGTGTGCATGATAGTGTGAGCCAGGTACCCAGTGTGCATGATAGTGTGAGCCAGGTCCCCAGTGTGCATGATAGTATGAGCCAGGTACCCAGTGTGCATGATAGTATGAGCCAGGTCCCCAGTGTGCATGATAGTATGAGCCAGGTCCCCAGTGTGCATGATAGTGTGAGCCAGGTCCCCAGTGTGCATGATAGTGTGAGCCAGGTCCCCAGTGTGCATGATAGTATGAGCCAGGTAGCCAGTGTGCATGATAGTGTGAGCCAGGTCCCCAGGGGTGGTGGGGCAGGTTCCCCCAGGCCCAGTCACCACCAGCGAGCGATGACACTTGCTCACAACACTCAGATATTTCAACAATGCCAATAACGTTCGGCCACACTCGGGCTAACAGCCTTATCAACATTCCTTAATGAATAGAATGCTGCTTAGGATTTAATACGATCATTAAAATGAGAACGGTATTGATGCCCTGGTCATCAGAGTGAGAGGGGGACTGAAGCCCTGGTCATCAGAGTGAGAGGGGGACTGAAGCCCTGGTCATCAGAGTGAGAGGGGGATTGAAGCCCCTGGTCATCAGAGTGAGAGGGGGACTGAAGCCCTGGTCATCAGAGTGAGAGGGGGACTGAAGCCCTGGTCATCATAGTGAGAGGGGGACTGAAGGCCCGGGTCATCAGAGTGAGGAGGTCGGTAGTGGTACAGCTTGTTCTTAAAATTTGAATAGCGTAAAATTTGAAGTGGTTGTTGCCTATCCTGAGGCCTGCAAACCTTGGCAATCACCTATTCTACTGTGGTCAATGCTCATTAGTCCGAGACAGCGTCAATATTCCAGTGCTTTTGATTTCACTAATGCACGGATATTCTGGCGGTGTTGGTATTGGTAACGTAATAAGAAAATAAAAAACTCTTTGAATTATGAGAACGAAAACAGAAACTTCATTAACACTGCAGAGAATTGGTCACAATAACGTGGCTAAAATTAATAATTTAACACACATATAACGGTTATTTTAGATAATTTATTATGTATCCTATACCCATCCTGTGGTCGTTAGTGGACCCCATACTCATTCTGTGACCGGTAGTGAACCCCATATCCATCCTGTAGCCGATAGTGGACCCCATACCCATGCTATGGGAGGTAGTTGAAAAAGGTTACAGGAGCACATAATGGGCTCTGGAAATTAACCCGATAATTCATTTAGGTAAACAAGTTATGATCTTGATAAGCTAGTTACATAGTTTAGTGTACATATCATCGACAATGGGTTCGAGAACGAGTACAAGTAGTCTCTAAGCTAAGCGACTTACATTTGCGGTGAGCTAATTTCAATATTTGATTTGCTTATAATGCACATATAATGATATGATGGGAACACCATTAAATTTTCAGATGCTAATTAGGTCATCATCTTGGGAACTCTATGCTCTCGAAATTGTCTGTAATTAACGTCTTGAATTGATTTAAAAACATCAGTTTAATTTAATTTACTGTTCTGGATCTTTACTTTAGTTTGTAAGTTTATATTCAGTCGAGGAATATTACTCTCTTATGTGAGTAATTAATTATCTGGAGCTAAGCCTATATGGCTAGGCCTATATAACATTTTTATTTTACAGGTAAAATTAATACACATATATACATTATTTAGGATGCTGATTTGAAAGCAGTGACATAAGCTTTGATATATTACGGACATCCGTAAGGATCCATCCAAAGGATACCTGATCAACCAGGCTGTGACTCATACGTCAGGCTGCGAGCAGCCGCGTCCAACAGCCTGGTTGATCAGTCCAGCAACCAGGAGGCCGACGGTAAAAATAATTTACTATACATCTTCAAAGTGTGCTCATCCAAATAAACAATGTGAGGGGGAACAAGACAATATGAGCAAGAAGAGGCAGGTTTCATTTTCGTCAAGTGAGGCGGCTTAGTATGGATACGCAATCAGTTCTAATGATAGTAACCAAACCCCACACATGTGAAAAGTGAGTGACAACGTTTCGGTCCATCCTGGGTCTTTTATCAAGTCATGATAAGGGTCCAGGGTGGACCGAAACATTATTACTTTACTTTTAATATGTGTGAGTTAGGTGTCTAAATTTCATCCATGTGATTATGAGTTTTTTTTGCATTGTATTTGAGATAAGTAGGAAAAATATTGCCAAGCAAAACGTATTTAAAGCAGTTGGCTTGGATGGGTTGCAGTCTTAGCTAATGATAAGATATGCAGCTAACGAATTATGTTTATTAATATTATTTAGAAAATCCTTTGATCAGGCACAATGATTCGAGACTGGCAACCTGTTAACGTGGGCCCAGATTTGAAGAAGGGTAACAGAAGCTCATGAGAAAACTACCAGCCAATCAGCATAACCTTTCATATTTATAAGCTCCTAGAGATATTTTGAGGAAGCAGCCACCATCCAGCAGCTCAACGCTGTCTTTCTCGTCAAGGCTTCACTTCATTGATTCATGGACAAACAAATACTGTCTTCACAACTTGCTCACCTTTCATGAAAAGGTTACTATACTCACCAAGGATTTCCAGTTCATGTGCTCTATAAGGACTTCTCTTAGGGCATTTGATAAAAACGTTAAGCAAAAGACTGACTGAGAACACAGTAACATGGATACTCTTCCAAAATGGAAATGGATAAAAGAAAGGTTGTAATACAAGATGTAAAGCGCCTTTCGACATGGAGTCACTATGAACAATCTTGTTTGTAATGAACATCAATAACATTGTTACATTCATCTCAAACCACATCACTTAATTTTCGGGTGGATAGTGAAATATACGAGAAGCTGGACATCGAAGAAGGCACGAATTTCATACAAAGTGCTCTACACGAACCTCACAAATGGTATAAAAAAAAATGGCAAAATCTATCCAATACAGAAAAATTCGAGAACCTGCATGCATATGAGAAATATTAGTCATCACAATTAAAGGACAATTTTAATATCTTTATTGTTCGACTACATCTTTAAAATGTCTTTAGTAGCACATAAGCAACAGCTTCAAGTTCGAAGTCAGGATAAGCATGTGATACACTGGAAAAAAAAACTTGCCAGACAGAGGAGTGGAGAGCCCTCACAGACTGCGAGCTTCCTGTCGCCTACGAGGCCACTCGAGACGCACGACGTCTGGTAAATTCATGTAAATGTTACCTCAAACTTTATCACGTGCAGTCTCACGGATTTTCTTTTCGCATGTTTTTGAACTGTCAGAAGGCCTTTTACACACCGTCCTCCAAGAGACTAGTGCAGTAGTTTGAAAAGCAGGGGGAGAACTGGTTCCGGAAACTCGTAGGAGGTGTAGGGACCGAATTGGTGTATTTTAGCGATCATAATGGTTGTAGTAGCATAATGGTAGTGTTGTGAGCGTAATGGTAACGTTGTGATTGTAATGGTAAAGTGTATTGGCAGGAGTTGTGAGGTGTAGTTGTAGTGGTGGGGGTGAAGTTTCGTAGTGGTTGGTGAAGAGGAAGTGGGGGTGTAGTTGTCACAGTGGTGGGGTGGAGTGGCCAGAACAAGGGAATGAAACAGTGAGGAAAAGAGAATATCTAGCAAATTAAGTGCTAACATTAGTGAATAAGGAATAGGGTGGGAAGGGAGGGGGAAGGTTAGGACAGTGTGTGTAAATGGCAAAAGATGCACGGTGGCCGGAAACGGGGAACGGTGGCATATTGCTTGATCGAACTTCAGCTCCTGAACCCAGTTTTTGCAACTGTCAATTGTCCTTCGCCCTATCATATTTACATATAAATATATGTATTATTCTGGCTAGTTATGCATTATGCGTCATACTAAGTCATATGAGGCTACGTCTATTAAATGACCTCTGAATTTCGAGGGAAATATATTTAGGAAAATACATTACCAGGTGATGAACGTGAAAAGACTTGAATGCATTAGTGAGAAATATTTCAAAGCTACTCTCACGAGGCAGTAAATAAAGCCAACGGAATCATAAGGTTCTCAGATTAATCTTTCCAGCCTCCGTCCCAAAAATGCCAGTCACTGTATAATCCTTTAACGTGTCGCATTCTAGAGTATTGCATACAGTTTGGTCCCCTCTTTTGAGGAGGGGTGATGATGACTCAAGGGTGTTCAGTGCCGGACACCCAAGACGATACATAGACATAAAAGTAACTCATATGAAACCGTTTAAAGAGTGTAAAATATTCTTGGTTCAGACAAAAATATTGTAAATATTTTCCAATCAAACATAACGTGCATCACCAATTTTGTAATTATTGGTGAAGGATTTTAACCAAAAAAAAGGAAAGTGCTTTTTCTTTAAACACTTGACAAACATGGAACAGTGTACCACAAGTAAATATGAGTAATACTGAATACACTCTACATTAAGAAATACACTGTTCAGTAGCTTTTCAATAAATCCTCGCCCTATACTGTTGACGCCGTCATAAATCTTCGGTTAACAAACAGCTTCGTTTATACCCATTAATCTTTCGTTGCTTGACTATCATTGTGCAACCTTCATAGTCACCGAAGCGAGCCGGGCTGTTGTCATACAGCGGGCCACATGTGGCAACTCATTCATCCGCCAGCCTAACTTCGTAACCCTGGATTAATGCAGTGATTTCTATTTTAAAGCTAACTAAAAAAAATGTTATTTCATACTTTAGCATATATATTTTTAGCAAATAAAATAACATAAGCTACTAATAACAACGGTGTTGTCACCACATAATAAATAACGTAATTTAACGCTTATGCACGCTCCGCCGGAGAAGCGATGCTTAACTGGGAAATTAAACGATAAATATAACTTGTCTAGCGCAAACCTGCCAAACTATTGTTCGCTTATTTTTTTTTATGTATCATAAATTAAAGGTTACAATTATTATTAGGACACGAGGGGCGGAAAACTGAGAGTTGTTGGTACTTACACTATGTCGAATTTTTCATGTAAACTTTGGCGGCAACTGTCCAGTAGCACTTCTGAGGAAACAAAAAACAGGCATTACTGATAGAACATAATATATATATATATATATATATATATATATATATATATATATATATATATATATATATATATATATATATATATATATATATATATATATGTCGTACCTAATAGCCAGAACGCACTTCTCAGCCAACTATGCATGGCTCATTTTGCCTAATAAGCCAAGTTTTCATGAATTAATGTTTTTTCGACTACCTAACCTACCTAACTTAACCGAACCTACCTTTTTCTGCTACCTAACCTAACCTA